TCTGCATTTTTATAGTTCTTGTATTTTCACTTTGATTCTTACCATATCTCTGATCTATACTTTCATCTTTTATCAAGTCTCTTTCTTAAGAAAGCCATACACGGCTACATTTTGTAAACAAGCGGAATCACTCGATTCCCCCATCCTTGCTAAACAGCGTGGACGGAGAACTCTCCACTGCTGCCTATTGTATTCCAAGAGCCAGCACCCGTGGCTGCCTGAATACAAGAATAGTGACTACATCTGATCTGATGGGTGGTCACTGTTTGGCCGACAATTTTTCATCTGGCTCCTTCGATTTTCACAATCGGCCTTTGTCAAGCCGACGGGGCCCGAGGAGTCTTAAAACGGCTAAAATATGCACTGTGCATGTCCTACACTACTCCTTCTCTCCTCCTTTTTCTTCCTCCCACTTCTGTTTCTCTCTACCTCTTCTATTCTCTCTCTCTGATGTGTAGTGTGGTGCCTTGCGTCTTTACATTGTGCGTTTGTCACACTGTTTACTCCTTTTTTAACTTGAATGAATTTTAATTTTGTGACATTTCAATAAATTCTGTGCATTTGGAGCATTGACATGTGGAGTTGCATTGCATAAAATGTAGACATGCTACATTTTTGCGCAAAGCACACCACCACACATGTATGGTGAGAAAGGGCACATGGAGAAAACTATTTTTCTATGTGCCCTTTCGTTGAGCATGCATTGATTAATGCTGACCAATGCAGCTCAACCCACCTGGTGTAAGCGAGCTCTTACGGCCGTTCACACATACGGTGGTGACTGGCGTTTTTCCACACCAGTTGAATGGCAGTTACTGCCAGGACACAGTAGTCTTATGTGCCCCGTTAAAACCACAACACGATGTGATGTGCGGTGTGGAAAGCCACAGCGCACTGGAGGACATCGGAGGTCAGTGCACCACAGCGCCACACATTGCGCTGCTGTGCAGAGACCTGCATGGAGTGTACCCTTTGTACGCTCTTAATAAAGTTAAAATTACAAAAAAGTGTGGTGCACTAAAACAGCACATCACACTGCTCCCGAATGGACGTCACTTAAGTACACTAGCCCGTATGCCAAGGGTGGGCAAACTCCGGCCCTCCAGCTGTTATAGAACTACAAATTCCATGAGGCATTGCAAGATTTTCACAGCTACAGGCATGGCTCCCAGAGACAGATGCATGATGGGATTTGTAGGTTCACCACAGCTGGAGGGCCGGAGTTTGCCCACCCCTGCCGTATGCTAAAACTCAGTGGTTTAGCATGCAGGCTCGTATGAACAAGCCCTTGAGCTCACAATAAATGCTCCAGTCTGATCTTCCAATCTTTGTACAGTCAAGTTGAGATTTGCCAAAACTATACAATCAATTTAATATCCAGTTAGAAGGGGCATTAATTGTTGCCAGATCTAACGCCCCTTTTACACAGGCAGCATCCGCCCTGACCAGCAGGGGATCAGTGTACAGATTTCCTGCTGATCGGAGCAGTACGGAACGTATCTGTTCAGGTTTTTTTTTTTGCACCATCATGCAATGGAGGAAAGAATGAACTACACAGACCCATGTCAAGTCTATGGGCAGGTGGATGTAAGCAGACATGTGTCCCTTTACATTCAGTTACCTCCGATCTGTCGCATTTTGGTCGCAAGCTTTCTGTTTTTCCCCCCTTTTATTATTTAATTAACCCCTTCATGACTGAGGCCTTTTTCCGTTTACATGTTATAATCCACATTTTAGACCTGAAAGTTACTTAAAACCCCCAAATATGATATATTTTCTGAAAGCCAGGACCCTGTAAAATAAAATGTCAGCAGTTGCAAATTTTTATGTTGCACGATATTAGCGCAACTCCTTATCAAACGCCCAAATTTCTTAAAGCCACAAGAAAAATACCAATTTTTAGGTAAAATATAAAAGATGACGTTACAACGAGTAAATAAATACCCAACCTGCTCAGGTTAAAAATTGTGTGCTTCTGTGAAACTGCGATAAAATTCAGTACCCCAAAAAGTCCATAGATGACGCATTAAAAGCCCCCACAGGTCATCAGTTTAGAGATGCACATAAAATATTGGCCCTAGAATTGCGGCTCTCACTCTGGCGTGCGCGGCAATACCCAACATGTGTAGCGCGATCATTGTTTTCATACGTAGGCACACCAGACACAGTGCAGTGACAGGTACTCTTTAAGGTAATACTGGGGGTCCAAAAGACCCCTTGTATCACCTTTACACTTGAAAATAGCATATTGCTGGGTTTCAGGAGCCCAGCACTGACAGCTATGGGACCAGAAGTGATGTAATCTGCATTGCTCCCAGTCCCATAGTACGGGCAGGAGATCGGTGAACTGAGGTTTGCCGATCTCCTCCCCAGCTTCACCACGACACCAGAGAAGCTGGTCCCGGGCTCTTCTGCCCCTCCTTCGGGCCTTGAACCAACTTCTTTTTTTCGCACATGTCTAATAATATGCGTGTGGGGGGGGGGGGGGGGGGGGGAGCAGCTGGGGAGGGGTTGTTTGCCTGTTTACTGGCCCGTAGAAGCAATCGGCTATACAAATGTAAACGGAATCCTGGCGGTCTGTTTAAACGGGTCCGATGCCTGTGACGTATACTGTACGTCACTGGTCATAATGGGGTTAAACGGACTTTGAGGTATATAGATGTAAACAGACACACATCCATTTACATTTGGCTGCCCATTGTTACTGTTACATTGTTACCGTTACATTGTTTTCTGATAAGATCTGCCTGAAAAACTGGCAGGTGGATCTGATCAGACCTCCCGTGTGAAAGGGGCCTAAGGGCTTGTTCACACCAAATGCAGACCAGATCTGCATGAGTTTCTGCAAATATTTTTAGTTTAGAATGGGCTTTCAGTGCGTTCCAGGGCGTTTGCATGCGTTCCAGAGCAGGTAAAATAGGGCTTGCTGCAGTTTTTTTTTTTTAACATGCTTTGGAACTGAATGCTGCGGTGTGAACTAGAGCCCAAAATACCATTGGAACACATTGGACGCAGTTTTGATCCGGTCTGTAACTGCTCTGCTCCTGGAATGCGATTGGTGTGAACAAGCCCTGAAGGAGATTGTACAGTTCCATTGTAAGGTGTGTAGTGAGGATTGCACTTTACATTTTGTGCTCCCTTGCTCTCAGTTATGTTTTCTTCCCTCAGTCTACATATTAGCTGATATTTCGCCCATAGTGCTGTTTTCCATTTACTCCACATTTGGTGCTGTTTTGGGCATTTTCCACCCTTCATATTGTCTTTTACTGGTAGTGCCTTTTCCATTTCCTTTCATATTCTATCTCTTCTGCTTGCTGTAGTCTTTGGACTTTATAGGTCCCCTCTCTTATATTTGGGCACACATTACATTTTATGATCTTATGCACTTGTTGTACAACTGACCTGAATACTATTTTGCTTCAGTCGTTTTTTTTTTTTTCTTTAGCACTGTTAATTTATGGCATAGTAACTCTTTAGTTTTGGCTTTGCTGGTCCCCAGCACTCATGAGTTGTGTGGGTCCCCACCTTCTTCAGTTTTTGTCCTTTTTGTTTTTTCAGTTATTTATATAGTCTGTGTTTTGTTACTTTCTCCTTGCAGAATGACACAGAACTGTTTACGTTTCCTTTTTGTTCTTTTTACCTGTAGATTAATGAACTTGACATTCAGAATCGTGACATTCTAGGTCATGGAAATGGTGGAACTGTATATAAGTGAGTATATGTTTTCTTATGGTTATATGCAAGATGTTTTGTGATTTATGCTGTAGGCCTAATTATTCAAAGTGCCTGAAAAACTGTGTGTTCATTGCAGCAAGCTAGATTCTTCAGTTTAGTAATTCTGCTGGCAACGCTGCAGTTCCTACCTGTCCGTTATTCGTTATTGTGATTGACAAGATGTTCTTCATGCTCATGACCAGCATCATCCAACCTATTTCCACTGAGCCCAGGCTGTCATGGACCTAACTGGGAATAGACAAGTCAATGAGAAGCTGCACAGTGATGAACTTGGTCACTTAGCTTTCTTCTCCTATCCGCATGCTCTTTGTTAGCACATGAAATGACTGGATTCTTGTGCTGATTCTTCCTCTCCCACTATGAGCTCTGCTGTACAGGGTTTGCAAGAGGCTGATATCAAGCCAAATTAAGGTACTTACACTGCTTCCCCTGAAAATACATATAGCCCCCATTCACGCACCTGTGAATGCAGTGCATTTGAATGGGCCGCCTACCACAGCTAAGTTGCCCTTAAAAAGCATGCACCTTTTCTTTTTAAATCGCACCACAAAGCATGGTAATAGGTTCGCTTGCAATGTACCGCAATGCAACACACATGCAATGGGTAGATGCGTCGGGGTGTCAATAAGAAATAATGGCACTGCAGCACACCTAACATTGCAACATTTGATTCCATGTGATGTGGCATTGTGTGCGGCATGGCATATGCTCCCACATCTGACATGTGAACGTGGGCTTGTTTATGTAATAATGAATATAGAACTGCATTCATTTGTGTATTTTTATGTCTGTCTGCAGTTCAACTTCAAATTATATGCAAATCCTGACATTTCCTGTAGGGTCGAGCTTGCCCCTACATCTTCCTACCTTCCAAGTCTTCTTATTGATCTTATTATGATTGGTGGCCTCATTGACTGGTAGGAAGTCTCGGGTGGCGGGATAGGGGCAGTGTCAAGTTGACTTTTACAGGACAAGTTAAGATTTGCATATGGCTAAGGCTGTAGTTATCTCTAGATTTCTTTGACTTTTGAAATGTCATTGACACCGAAGATGTCCTCTGCTTTTCCATGTTTCATCCCATCCTCCACTTTAAATGCCCAGGTTTGGGACAGGGTAACGTTATTACTGGAATGGCCATGGCCTATGATATTTAAAGCGCTGCGCAAACTGTTGGCACTATATAAATCCTGTATAATAATAATATTGATATGATCTAGCACTATATACACTGTTAAACACACACATGTACTCCAGCTTGCAGTGTTAATCTAGACTCAGCAGGTTTTTGCTGAAATATGGCAGCCACATATTGATTTTTTTCCTGAACTCAATTGGATGAAAACTTGTTTGTGTAGCAATATCGGTTTGTCCAGGACCCTGAAACAATACTCTCCACGCAGTGTAATCACCAGTCTGCTTCTCAGGGATAATAACATTTCTGTAAAGAAATAAAGCTATAGGTGGACCCTTTTTCATCTGAATTTCCAGGGGGCATTCCCTCCAACACCCTTTAAGCTTCCTCTGTTAACACTTTCCTGACTGTATGTGAGCACCACTATTAAAGGCTTGTGAAATATGTCAGACTGCCTCCTATAAGGAGATCATTTTAATGGCTTGAGGAGGAAGATGGTATGTCTGATATAATTGAGTGTGCTTGAATCTGCTGCAATTGTCACCATACCTTGTTGAGGTTTTGTTTCTCCATCCATGGAAAAAATATAGGGTAGATTTTTCCACAAACGTGCAGGTTTTCATCCATCAAGGGTACATATTTAGGCATATGGGGGGAGGGAGGGGGATCACTGTCCAGCTTTAACTTATCTCGGCAATCTCATAGAAGGGTGCTTATAGACACGCAGTTGGCCACAACTGGTTAGATGTACTTTGTCACAAGGTTTCACCTATAAGGCCTCATTCACACGACTTAACAGCTGGCCCGTACAGCTCCGTGCTGCGTGCACGGTCGTATCGGGCCACTCCCGGGAAGGACAGGTGCTGTGTGTGATTTGTACACGGCAGCCTGTTCTACTCTATCAGAGTATGCGGCCATACGCCGCCCTACGCTTACCCGAACTGCGGGTGTCCCTGCTTGGACGCAGACAGGATCCATCCTGTCAGCATAAGAGTACCGACACCCGCACGGACGTGCAGTTCGGGTGAGCGTATGGCTGTGTACAGTACGGGCCTGGCTGTTAGTCGTGTGAATGAGGCCTTAGGCTCCATTCACACCTATACTTTAAGCGACATACGAATACGATTACATTCGGTTAGCATAGGAATCAATGATTGATTCCTAACCGCGTGTAGCCTAAATGGGTGGCAGCTGCCGCTTGTAAACAGCAGATTAGGGATTCCTGCAGCGGGAAATGGCAGATTCCTGTTGCAGGAATCCCTAATCGTACCTAAAATATAGGTGTGAATTAGGGCTGCAACTAATGATTATTTTCATAATTGATTAGTTGGCCGATAATTTTTTTGATCAGATTAAAAAAATTAAATAACATCCCTAATTAAAAAAAAAAAATAATAACACTGCATGTACAATTTTTTGCAGTCGCACTGCACTAGAATGCACGGCATTGCGGTACCATGCGTTTCAAGTGCGGACGATCACACTGTGGGTGGGAGGCATGTTTGGGGTGCCATTGAAATGAATGGCACTGAAACACACCTCCCGCAGCAGAATTTGACAGGCCAAAACTGAAATTGACTTTTTTTCCACCTTTTTGTATAATTATTACTATTTTATTTTTTATTATATTGTAAGCACATGGCACTTGAATAGCTTCAGCCCGGGAATGACAGCTGCCAGTGGCAAGATTCCACAGACGGTAGCTGAATGTAAATAGAGCAGGTAGTGGGCGGGGGCAATAGCCAACAGCAGGCTGGCTATTGCATCCGCCCACTGCTTGCTGTGCCCTCCTCCCAGCATGAAGGGGTTAGGGAGTCCAGTAACCAAAATGGAAGTACAACCTCCCCCCCCCCCCTTTAAACCTGGGGGAGGGTCTTTTTTTGTCGA